TTTTACATGTGTGTTTCTTTTATCTGATGAATCTAGACATCTGTAGCTTTGTTGTTCTTAGCTTTGTAGTGGCCCGAGTTAAAAGAGACATTTGTCCTTGGCACTTGCAGCTTGTGCGAGATCTGTCTCATCGAGTTAGCTACTGTCAAAGCGAGGCTAAGAAAAGTTAAATCACTCTAGGACCTATATCAAAATATCTAAACCGCGTTCGGGGAACAATGAATTAGGAGAAAATCTCGACAAGCAAACCCTCGCGAACCAAACAGGGTAACTTGGAAAGTCAATCGGAGCTAATCATCCACCACCACTAGCTGACACCAAACAGCTCTCGCACTTACCCCTGAACCCCCCCTTGAGCACGACAATGACACGAGCAAAGACCGGTGGGCGACAGAGAGCGGCACATCAAACAGGTGCTAGCAGCAGCAGCAACAACAGCAGCAGCAAGGACGTCCTTTTTTTTTTTTTTTTTTTACCCTTTGTGGGCCAATAAGCTAGAGGAGCGAACAGGACTGCGAGGGGCTTGCGTCAGCCCCTTGAGGAAGAAGGCGGCGACAGGGGGAGAGAAGCAGTTCTCGACGCCGCTGCTGTTCGCCATGGCGGCACAGCGCAGCCACAGTGTCTCTCTCTCCCCCTCCCAAACAACCCCTCTCTCTCTCCTCGTTCGGAGTTGCGGCTCGTGGGGGGCGGCGGCAGGGGCAAGAAGAGTCTTTCCACAGAGACATGGGCTTTTACCAGATGGCCAACAGGGGATGATGGAGTTGGCTACCTGGTAGGTGGGCAGTCGCCAGCATAGAGATATGCACACACCCCCATTTCACAAATCCAGACAGGTACTACCTACGACTACTATACCCCGTATACAAGCCCTTCACAAGACATCATGTCTCCAGAATAACAATACCGGATCTGCATATCGACCCTCGGACCGCTAGAGGGTCCGGCGGCCCAGGAGCAATCAGATCATCGGGGAGGTTTGACGGGAGCGCCACATGATTGGACGAGCCCGGAAGCCTTCCCTTGTATCCGACGGGGCAGGAGGGGGGGGAAGAACTTACACATGCAGGGCCTGCATATCGATCTTTCGTTCGTTCGCTCTGTATACCTAGTTGGGTAGGTAAAATGTGGGCGGGCACTGTATGTTGTAGGTAGCACGGGTAAGGTACCTTCACCCATCTACCGACCTCCCGATAGCAGGCGTTCCGTTGCAATCTCGACGTCAAGGCACGCACCGACCTCGCGAGGCCCCTTTCACACAGACGCGCGCGGTCCGGGGGGGGCAAGGAATGGGAGGTCAACAGATACGGCAAACACGGCGATACGGCATCGCAGAGGGGAACATGCACGCCCCCGTCCCGCTGGGAGCTACCCTGGGCAAAACAGCCAACCGGCCAGATGCTGAATTGGGAAGTGAAAGAGGATACTGTGCAAAATAGACCACCGGCCCACATTAACCCCCGGCTGTCGACGGGGGGAAAAACCGATGACGGACGGGGCCGTTCTCGCCCTCAGGGGGGAGGAGGAGGCCTTCTGGCGCCCTGAGCACCACACAGAACTTTGGGGGGAACCATTTTGCCCAGTAGGCCGGACCCTCACTTGCAATGAGCCGCAGCAGGGGGACAATTTGCTCAGGCCGCTTCCTTGCTTCTCGTAAACTGACCAATCATGTTCCCCGGTTGAGGTGGAGAGAGTGGAGTGAACGGGGAGCACGTCGCAGTCGGAGGGACCGGGAGACGGGGGTGGGAAAATGTACCATGCCCAGGCACATGTTTTTTTTTTTTTTTTTTGGGCATCACGTCTTTTCATGGCTGCCGGCTCTGTTGTTCTTCTCCAGCGCCCCCTCCGTAGGGGCAACGCCAAGGGTGAGATGAGTGGCTTCCCCCCCCGTCAAGCTCTCGAAGCGATGTGCGCCAATACCGCTGTTGCCACCGTGGGACATGGCGCGCCACGGCAATGGGATCGCCTACCTATCACAAATGAACTACCGTCAACTAGAGGGGCAGGAACCCCCCTGGAGTGACGAGCGGATGGACAGAGGCACGGGCGTTGTGTGGTGTTTCGAGAGACGAGAAAAACGACGTGGGAGCAAGATGTCCGGGGAGAAAGAAGAGATGCTCGCAATACAACTTGGCACAAAACAGGGCACGCGGGGGGGCTGTTGAATCGCGAGCAAGGAACAAACAAAAAAGCGGCTGATGCGTTGCTTGCTCGGTTGACAGATGCCACCCTACTGCCATGTGGCTTCCGTCTCAGCCAGGGTGGGGAGGGTTGCAAAAGTGTCGCTTTGGGGAATCCTGACGCCGACACGCGCAAGGGCGGCGCGGGGCCGTGGTGTTTTTCCCAGCCAGGGGTACCACACCTGGGCACCACACCTGGGTACCTACCACACCTGGGCAGGGCCACCAACCCTCAGAGCACATTGCCCAGGCTGGGGCTTCCAGGGGGGCGGCGGGCAAGGCGCTGTCGCCCTCGGCTTCTCAGGGCCTGCTTCCCTGGGGGCGTGCGAGGAGGCAGGCGACGGCAAAGGGAGGAGGGTGGGCGAGCTTCGGTGGTTTCCTCATTTCGGGCCATGGACAGGACATGGCAAAACCGGCTTGGCAGGATACCTACCTAGGACCCCTGGCGACGCGCGCGGCACTTCGCACTGGTGATCCCGACCCGTGGGAACAAGGGGGGATGCCGGCTAATGATGGGATGACTATGGTGCGGTGGTGCTGTGGTGCTGTGGTGGCTCGCAGCTGCAAAAAAGAGGTGTGGGTGGTCGGCAAAACCAGGCGGCCCACCCTCGAGAATATCCGTAGGGTTCCATCCGCCAAGGGTTGCAATACCGACAGTGAGGTTTGACGACACTTTTTTCCCCCAAACGAGATCAGCAAAAAGGGGGCTGTCCTGAAGCACGACCCACAAAGCTGGACCGTTGGTGCTGCGACCGACAGCACTACTGGCCACTACAACCCACGTCAGGCTCGCTAGGTGGCGTGGGTGCTGGGCGATGGCGGCGGATGGTGCCGCAGCCCCCTGGACGGCGAGCGAAAAAAAAAAAAAAAAAAAAGCCATGCCCTTAGTAGACGAGAAATATTGACCGAACCGAATGGGCTGCCGGGGTCGTGACATGCCGCGGCCTCGTGGCACACGGAGACGAACCACGATAAAGGTTATCGCAGGGCCACTGCTCCTTTTTTTTCTTTTTGTTTTCCCCCAGGGCGCTAGGACGCTGCAAGTCCGTGTGGGCGGTTGTCGAATCCGACCGGGACTGTGACAATGGCCACACACCACCGTTTCGCCGAGAAATGACCTGAAGGATGATGCCGCCTCGCTTGGCCCTTTGCAGCGCTTTGTCGGGCTGGTGGTGGGCTGCTGCGGTTGGGGAGTCTATCTCTGGCTGAGATGGCTACCTGAGGTACCCACCTGAGGTGCCAACTACCTCCCTCTGGAGGCACGCGAGCAATGGGCATGGACTTGGCCGGCATATTATCGCCTGGCAATTGACACTGCCGCGATGATGGCGGCAGGCACGCACGGGGCAAGATTGGAAGGATCGGAAGGAACGGGGATGGGGCCAAGTCGTGCCTGCTGCAGATTTGTTGGCTGCAGGGCCTTGGGGCTGGACCCGTCAACCGTCAGCGAATGGCAGGCACGTCCAGTTCTTTGGATTCGCCGATGCAACCAGGGACGGGAAATTTTCGGCAAATGGTTTTCCCCCCAATCGGGCGGCGGCTGGCAGATCAAAACGGCTTTCGGCTGTTCAACCCGAAGGCCGGCACCGACAGCGACCGATAGACCCGACCCACGGTGTCTGAAGGTTGTACTTGTCTGGAGGTTGTCCTGTCCTGTTCCCTTTGGGAGGAGTCCTTGGAGGGTCGTTCACGGCGCAACCTCCCGGAACAGGCTTCCTCACCGCGCGCCATACCAAAGCCGCCCAGACCTACCGACGGCGACCAAATCCCGCACACCGACGCTGACCCCTCCCGCCTCGTTTCCCATCGACGTCGGGCTGTGTGCTGTGTGTGTGTGTGTGTGTGTGTGTGTGCGCGTTGGTTGCGCTGCCGTTGCATCCTGCGCCCGACCATGATCAGCTAGCAACCTGGCCACTGCAGAAGCGAAACCGGGAGAATTCCCGAGTCGCATGTTTGCCCTGGCTTGCCCCCTCCCCGACGGACGGCTTCACGGCCAAGCCTCCGTTGTTGCGCATGTGGACTTTTGGCTGAAGGACAGGAGAAAAGCCTGCTTTCGGTATGCATGTTGGCCCGCGAAGCGAAGTATGTAGCAAAGTAGGTACCTACCTATGTACATGGTCCAGTGCATCGGCCCCATCTCGGACGCGCATGCCCCCCGCGTCGGTTCGCTGCCAACACGCTGTCCTTGCCATCCCATCCCATCCATCCCATCCATCTGTCTGTCTGGTCCTGACCCCGTCCATCCATCTCCTGACCTCGCCGAGACCCTGTGACGGGTCAGCCAGTCTGTGCAGTGCATCTCCCGACATGTCGGCTCTCGACTACACCCCACGACAAAACTTGGTCAGGTCTTACCAATTATTATGCCCCTCCCGGGCGACCAAGGCTTGGCACCAACAGGTTGGATATGGGTCCCCGCCGAGGCCACCCGTCGTCGAGCCTACGGCCGGATACGACGTCAGGTCCGGGTTGGGAAGGTAGGCAGGTTTTATTGGCGCAGGGCTGCCTGCGTGGTCTCTCCGCCCCAAACCCTACTGTGTAGACTGTAGACGTACCCATCACCTGCCTGCTGCTCGGTAGATGAGTCCCGTCTGCACCTTGATACCCACCCTCCTTGAGAAGAGCACACGTAGCACAAAAGGGATGTCCGGCCTTGGTCGCACCGCAACCACTTCAGCGCTGCAACGACCTGTTGCTGCAGGTGCTAGCGTCGATAGCAATTGATGTCTGCCTAGCCATCCACCCCCCGGCCTCCCGGCTTCTGCAACCAAAGCTGCCGTGCGGTTGCATCGGGCCCCTATTTATAGGCTTAGCTGAGCCTTCTTACTCGACGCTCGGATATTAACACGTCGTACATATAGTTCGTTGTGCTCAAGCCTTTTTTTTCTGATTGCGTCCATCTTTCGCTGCTGCCGTCGCGGTCGGCGTGTCCGTCCCCATTGCTCGTGATGCCATCGACGCACCATTGATGTCGTACGTGGGATGCAGCAGTTGCCGTCCACTCCCCGGCCAGCCGGTCGTTTAGAAAGCGAAGACTGGGGCCCGCTCAGCTAGCGAGGGTGTTTTGTTAGTTAGCACGGCCGCTAGAAGGCCGACGGCACCGTATCCGTCCGGACCCGGCGCAAACTGACTGGGTCGCTTCATGAGGGATAATGTCTGCGTATCCGTTGTGGTTTTTTTCTTCTTTTCTCTTGTCTTTTTGAAAACGCGGGTTAAACGGCCCCCGCACAAAATAACTCACCGGTGTTATTAAGCCGAGGGGCGATGCCAAGCAAGCACGCCCGCACGGCCACCACCGCCACGAAGTCCCCACGTACCGCACTCTCGCTTGCCAGAAGTCTGACTGCGGGCCCCCGGCAGGGACGGCACTGGGATTTAAACATTGGCGTGTACAACGGCCGCCCAGGGCCTCCTTTCAAGCTGTAATCTCTTAGCAAGGGCCGAGGTGGGCAGCCGAGATGCGCAACTGAGATATTGATCACCATCTTACCCCCCACCTGGGTCGGCCGAAAGGACTGTGCAGTAGAGCCGGTATTTGCTGCCAACCTTTGCCTGCTTACCCACCTACCTGCTTGTGTGCCGTTGGTGCGTGGGGCATAGATTCTTGCGCCGTAACCGAGACGGAGCTTACTAGATGGCAGGTGGGATGGCTGTTGGAGCCCGGGCGATAGCTGACAACAGCAGGTCATAGCGGCACCGTGTCTCGGCATATCGACCGATGCGATATCACTGGGCGTGTGGCGCATCAAGATCTGTATCCCTTGGGCAGTTGTTAAACTGGAGATGCTATTTCTGAGTGACGTATACAAATGTGAAAATCACCAAAGTGGAATCATGATGCTTGGGCTCCTCGTTTCGGAGCCAATAGCGTCAACGCCATCCGCGGCTTTCGCGGCCCTACGTACCTGATAGCTGTTTCCATCGTGCTTGCTTTTCCCTCTCTCTCATTTGTTTCCTTGCTGTGATCGTCAAGCAAACCGCAGGGCCAGGTTTCGGGAAAACAGGCTAATGTTGCCCTAGTTCGATATTGCCGGGATGGCGCGTTCGCCCTAAGCGGCTTCTCTTGTGCGCCAGCCTTATCACCGCCATAAAAATAAAGGACAATGTTCGGGGGTCACAAAGACACACACACACACACAGCTAGAGATCCGGCAGACTGCCGACAGGGGGTGGGCGGACATGGCGCCGGCGCCAAGGGGACCACCTCCGTCGGGCCAGGGAGTCCGACCTGACGCACCGAGACTGGGACGATCTAGAAGGCTAGCCAGACGCGCCTGGTGCGGCGTGGCCGGCCCCCTCTGCCGTTTATTCCTTTTTTTCGTGCGACACAAACAATCTTGCCGGCTGTGTCCAGAATAGCGTTGTCGCCGCCGCCGCCGCCGCCGCCGCCTCGCTGATCACATAAAGGGGGAAATGGGCATGTCGTCTGTTGTCTTCACATGCGAATTACCCCAGATCTTCACGTCCCTCGGCCAGGATGGGCAGAGCGAGAAGAACAGCCAAGCAATGAGTTGAACAAGAAAAAGAAGAGCCCCACAGAGAGCAAGCAATCTCGTCTGATGCTGTATGCGAGCGTTTGTTGGCACACAAAAACTTCAAAAAGGTGACCAAAACCGGTGACGCCTCCCCTCCCTGATCGAGCCAGCCCATGCATGCCTACGCTTCATCCCCTGTGCGCCGAGCCACGGCGACGGAAGCCAGGGCTTCGAACCCGAAAGGAATCAGCTCACACATCCAGAGCTTTACTGCACGGCACCCATATATTGAACGCCCACCGCGCGATGATGTCGGAGATCTAAAAATAACACACAAGCTAAAAAATCGCCGCTGGTTTTCTTTTCTCCCTCCATTCTCCAAGCCCCTTGCTTCCTTGGGAGACGGGGGAGCCCCCCCCCCCCCCCCCCTCCCCAATGGGGACACCCCGCTGTGAAATGAGCCAACGCGCGAAAGAGGAAATTCGCCGATGAGCCGACTCAGGGCCTGTCAACGCTATCGCCGAGCCGCTGCCCCATCCATGGGATGGCGGCGGCGGTGGTGGCGGCGGGGACTTTGGCGATGGGATCCTGGCCGGCCCATCTGGCTCGAGGCGATCCATTTTGATTCCACGGCGTTAGTATTTTTTTTTTCTCTCTTCTATTTTCCATTGATGGCAATGACCAGCCAGCCCGCCCCGGCAAGCATGGCTGATCCTGCGGTATTTCAGGGCCGTTAGATGGGCGCGCGCAGCTCTGAAAACCGCCCTTCTTCTGGCTGACTTGTGTGGGGCGAGCAGGAGTTGCATGCGGTCAACATCAGCTTCCCGCCCCCTGTCTGTGGCTCGGCATTTGCTCTGTTGGGGGAGGGGTACATGGTCTGGGTGGGGCCCTTCAGGTCGGGGTACAACGCTAGCAGGTCGGCGAACAGAAAGATGAGCAAGGCACACACCCCCACGGGCAATGTGAAGATGATAGGGTCGATATGGTGGGGACAACTGGGTAAAACCTAGCCAGGACCCTCGCTGCTGTAACAACAAACAGAGAGGCAAAAATCAAAACGAGAACAATGCCGCCGTATGCGGAAATCGGCCGGTCGGCGATGGCACGAGGCGAGGGAGGGGGGTCCCTGGCGGCATCGGGTCGGCAAGGAGCAAGGAGGGGCGCTAGCAAGTTGCGAATAACTTCAGAATCTGTGTCGAAAAAAAACCCCTGCACTCCCACACCCCTCCATTGTCGCATTTCCATCTGATTTCGTCACCCCTTGAATGCGGGGCCGCCCGGGGGCCCACCCTGCGCGTCGAATAAAGTCTTTACGACATACTCGTTCGGGAATGTGATCTGACCCGTGGTCGGATCCGGGCCCATACGGCAATACCTCTGGCGCATGCGGCTAGGTAGGTAGGTAGAACCCCCTTCACGCCCCCCCCCCATCCACACGCACATCGGCAATAGTCCCTGAAAGAGCAGAAACAAGCGAGGCGCAGGGTTTATGGCCGCTCGCTACCGTCCCACCACCCCCGGCACATCCAACCTGGGACGGATGGCCATCTCTTTGGCAAAAAACAAAGCCGCTCGCGTCGGCCATCGGCCCATGGCAAAAAAAAGGCAAAAAAAAAGGCAAAAAAAAAAGAAGCTCCGTTCACGAACAGCACACGACTCGTCGACTTCGCCATCTGATGGGTGCACGGGAGGCGCTCGCACTCCTTTCCCCAAGTGCCGTCCGCCTGGGCCCAACCTTGTGACCATGTGGACCCTCCCTCGCCTGCCGTTCGGGGGGGCGTCGTCGGCTTCTAGAAAAACCGTATTATAGCGTCAGGACACGGATGATACTTTGTCGAGACGCTCGCAGCAGGGCTTACGTATGCAGCACAGTAGCTCGGGGAGGCTTGTCGGCAGTGGACAAGACCGCACCGCACTTCTTGCCGTCGTTCATCGGGGGAGGAGACTAGTATGTCGCCAAAAAGAAAAGACGACCCGTTTTCTGGCTGTTGGTTGGGAAATGGCAAATTGGTGTCCAAAGCCTGCGTCGAGAGATTGCGTCCCGAGACGAGCCCTCGTGCCGTTGTCGCTTACAACTGTTTTGTGGGACGCCTCCTGATTCTCCCCGACTCCATCCCCAACGGCTTTTTTTTTTCTTTTGCT